GGGCGGCGGGGTGTACGAGCCCGACGTCTTCTACGACGCGTGCGATGGTGAGCTCTCGCGTCACATGTGATCCGGTCTTCATACTAAGCGGGATGCGCACAGAGCTCGGTATTCTAGTATGGCAGGACTTCCAGTTCGCATGTGGGGGTGTACCCTGCGCACGACTCCTTCGTCGCGAGCGTGCGCAAGGAGGCGGAGGACAACGTGCGCCGGCTGCGGCACCATCCCGCGATCGCGCTCTTCTGCGGGAACAATGAGGACTATCAGATGGTGCTCCAATGGGGCGGTCAGTATTTTTTGCGCATCTCCTACGCGTATACTGACGCGAAACACAGACGTCAAATCGTTCCCGGCGATCAAGATCTATGAGGAGGTACTCCCCGAGGTCGTCACCGCGCTCACGGGCCCACAGCCGATTCCGTACCACCGCGGCTCGCCGTACGGCGGCAAGGGGTGGGACACTGCGGACCCGACGATCGGGGATGTGCACCAGTGGAATATCTGGGGCGGCAAGGAGTTCCTGTACCAGGACTATGTCAAGCTCGGCGGCCGTTTCGTCTCGTGCGTGGTCCCGCTTTGTCCTTCCTTCCGCCCGCTGACCCATGGATTGCAGGGAGTTCGGGATCCCGAGCATCCCGGAGATGAAGACGGTAGATTATTGGATGGACGGTGCGGGAGAGGAACAGAGGCACGCACAGAGTGCGCTGATGGCGCAGCATTGCCGCGCGGGGAGCTTCGAGCGCCGCCTTGCGATTTTGATGAATGAGAACTTTAGGGTTACCACAGGACCTCCCTACGTGCGTATTTTTCTCTTCTCGTATTCTTCAGCGACTGAGGGTTGGAGGCAGGTATGTTTACAACACGCAGCTCATGCAGTCCGAGGCTGTGAGTTATGCATACCAGGTGTGGAGGCGCAAGTGGGGCGGCAAGGGGAAGGAATATGTGAGCAACTATGCCAAGTCTGGAATTAGTCTGACCTGACAATAGACGGCGGGGGTCTTGGTATGGCAGCTTAACGACTGCTGGCCGGTGACATCGTGGGCTATCGCTGATTACTTCGTGCGCTCCTCCCCTTTGATTGCGTCTCGGGATCGTTCTCAATTATTTTATATAGCTTCGACCGAAGCCCGTGTATTACACCATTGCCAGGCAGTTGGCGACATTCTCTGTCAATGTTCTTCGCACTGTACGCAATGCTTCTGTCGTTCTTGGTTGCCGCTGACAATGAGTTGCCAGGTTGTCAAGAACCGCGTAAACGACCGGCCTCCACAGGTACACACCGCTCGTCTTTACTACCGTATGCCACTTATCTTCGTCGTAGTTCTATGAATTCGGGAATTTCAATCCTACGGGGCGACGCTAGAAATCTGGGGCACCAACTCGAGCCTTTCCCAGCGCGCCGCGAAACTCGAGATCCACTGCGTCGATCTCAAGACGAGCTGGACGCACACCGAGACGCACGCCGTCACACTCCTGCCGAATCAGGCGACCGAGTTGCTCTCGCTTCCGTGCCCCGGGCCTCCACCCGCAGAAGCGACCCCGCCGCCAACCGGCGACGCGCAGTTCACGACGACGCACTCGGTCGTCGTCGGTGCGCGGCTGCTGGACGCAGAGACCGGCGCGGTTCTTGCGCGGTTCGCGGACTGGCCGCAGCCGCTGCGTTTTTTGGAGCCGGCGCTGCTTGCGCGATCCAGGGCTTGTCGTCACGGCAGATATGACGAGCGGGGCGGTGACAGTGCGCGCCGAGCGGCCTGTCAAGGGGCTCGTGCTGAGTGTGCTGGGGGACGGGGAGGACGTGCGGTGGAGCGATAATGCGCTGGATATTATGCCTGGGGACCCCCAGGTGGTGGTGGCGACGGCGCTCGCCGGACGCGAGGTGGCGGTTGCGTTCGTTGGTAATGAGAAGGCGCATGTTGCCTGAGCAGAAGTGTACCTCGTGTGAAAACTCCAAATGCGAACTTGTTCTGAATTCAGACGACCTGCACTCTTCCTTTTTTTACGAGTGCTATTTGACTTGATATATACAATTGAACGATGGGATAATGGAGAAAGTCAGGAATGCGAACTACCTGCAAATTCAAGTACTCCTATCTCACGCATCCCCACGGTCGCGTGATCGCGAACCTCCTAATCCTTAACTACCATGTCCCGCCGCTCAGCCCGCCTGCAAACCCTTGACAAGAACACTGAAGAATATATACCAGCTCAAAGCCCCGAAATCGAAGACGATGAAGATGAATTCGCCCCCAAGACCAAACGCCGCAAAGTTAAAGTCCATGCCACCGACAAGACTGGCACAGTAGACGATCCTAAAGTAAAGAAAATTCGGGGGCGTAGAGGACTCCTTAGCTCACTGAAGGAGTTTCCCATGGATGTTCTGTTTGAGGTGCTGTTTCTTGCTCCACTATTTAGAACAACTACGTCTGATATCCGCCTGGCAGATTTTCGGCCATCTCAACCCTCTGGATCTTCTCCATTTGTCCCGTACTACAAAGGAAATTCGAGGTACCCTTCGTAACCTGGCTGCCATATGCATCGTCTTACCGCCACAAACGACAGATATTTTGATGACACGATCAGCAGGTTTGGATTGTCCCCGGCTCACCGCGTTCATGCTCTGATATTTCTTTAGCATTTGTCTGGAAGGAATCTCGCCGCAACATTCAAGGTTATAGACTCTGACTTGTTCATACCAATGATCTTATTTGTACCAGGGCTCCCCGATATCCCCCCCGAACTCTCCGAGCCCCAGTACGCAAACCTTGCATTCGACGCTCATTGTCACGTAAGAAATGATCTTCTCATCAACACTGGTCTCTCATTTGGCCTTAGAGCTGCTTCTCGACCCCTGTCCAGAATATTATTTGGGGCGCCCGAAGGCGTCTTTGCAAGAAGTGCATGCACGAAGAGTAATATTCGCTTTCATTTGGACCATACAATGCTCATGTTTTTAGTTTCGCGCAGATAGGCTATGTGTCGGAGCAGAGCGGTCTGGACAGGGTCTTATTCGAGTTCGTACCATCAATTGTCGAGCGCCAGACAGGTGCGACGCTTCATTTTCAATTTGCGAGTCATTTTGATACCGGGAGTGCAGGACGAGGTCGCCGATGGCGGCAAACCATAACGACCCTGTATTCGCTCGAAGCCGCCAAGAAACTCAATGAGGAATGCGCAGAATTCAGAGATGAAAAGGGGGCACTTTTATCCAGTGATGCTCGATTTTTGGAATGGCGCGCACAAAAGACCGAAGAAGCAAGTGAACGCCGCAAGGTGAGTGCCCAATCCTCGCTACGATTGTTATTCAACCACTGTCAGCATGTCGCCTTGTGTGTTGCTTGGGCGGAAGATCGAACTACCAACCGCAGCAACGAGCTGGATGAAGCTCGTAGACTGCGGCGCGAAGCGTAAGCTCTTACCCATCTCTATTGGCAGTGATAAAGACTCAGTGGCAATAGCATCATTGCTCGGCTAACAAGCCTCGGCTGGGGACACGAGGAATTTGCGGACATAGAATTCAAGAATCACAAACTTGTTAGACAACCGAAGGAGTTGACTGACCGCAGTGAGCATCCCGTTACACTCGACACGTCATTCGACGCTGATCCTATTTAGTATGGAAGAATATCGAGGCTCCCCTCATTGAGCACCTTACTGGATTGAAAACGGCTCGCCTCGCCGAGGCTCGCGCCAGGATTCTCCGCGAACGTCGTCAGCTGGCTGCGTCCGTTTATAAGAAATGGAAAGAAACGCACCCGCCTGATGCGATTCTACCGCCGAAAATCGACGCAGTATCCAACGAGGCATTTAGGGTTGTTATTGAGGATACTCCAATCGAACCCGAGGAAAAGGTCACGGAGGAGTCGTTTGCGGACTGCGATCTCGCAACTTCCCCTCTTGGCAGCCGAGTGGAACCGATGCAAGATCAATGAGCTCGTACAAATCATGAACAAGGTTGTTCCCGACGCAGGAGAGGATGATCTGCGCTTGGCGTCCACTTTTTTCTCTGCTTTGCCATCCGGCTATCATTCTACTTCGGCAGCGATTGGATATCCTCGAATTCTCGTCCACTCTATGGCTTCTACCATCATCTGGGCGGAGCATATTGATGAAGATGCTTCCCCTCTCCAACAGTGTCCTGACTAGCAGATTTTTGGAATGCCGGGAACAGAATCCAATTTCACGAACAGGCCTTCCGCACTATGCGGTCGGTCATCGAAGCTTGCGGCCTCGATCCGGATGTGACCACAACGACCGAGATGAACGAAATAGATCCCAGGGTCGAATGCTTGAATTGCCATCACGAAACTCTTGGTCGCTGGGTTATGCCATGGATACAGACAGTCGGTGTTTCCTCTTCCGCAAGAGATTCATAGCTGACGACTGCTTGACTGCAGGTAGCCCATCATTGCGGAGAGAAGGCGCAATGGAAGTGTCTTACAAGAGACGAAGAAATTCTAGCTAAAGCCGAAGAGATGCAGGCCGCTTCCAGCTGGTCGCCCTTCACGCACCCTGGGGATATTTACAATTGCGGCTTATGTGTTCATCCGAAGATGTACGCCTATCAGCTAAGAGCTCATATGCAAGATCAGTGCGTGTATCTGTCCTACCTAGTGCTTAAATACCTTTTTCACACCGTTCAGCCACTCGAACTTGTCGGGGTCGATCTCGTTGAACAATGTGACGTTCGATATCGACGCACCGATCGGTTCTTTGCACCCCCGTCCCGTTCGGATTGAGGGCAAGGTCGCTGGAAGTGAACCTCTGGCTACGTAGTCGCTAAAGTACTGCTCTTATTCAAGAAACAAATGTAGTGTCGTGTTGGCGAAACATCCAATTATTTACAGACGAAGCTTCTTGTGACAAGACAATGAACAAATAATTCTCAGACAAGGGGGAAAAAGAAATTGTGTGGTTTTCTGGCGGTAAACTCGTTGTAAATCCAAGGTTCAATGTACTACGCAAAACAAACGGCTTCCATGATTTAAAAAGGATTTTAAAAATGACTGGAGTGGGATTCGAACCCACGCCTCGAAAGACTAGATAGGAACACAACCTGATTCTAGAGCCTTAGACCACTCGGCCATCCAGCCGTTGATCCTAGAGATTCAATTCGAAGTATAGTGGGTCGAAATAGCGAAGGATTTTGCTCAAAATGAGCGGAGAACGACGGCCGAAGAAGTTTTGAGAAAAGTTGATGGGAGAAAATCAAAAATACGAAAGCAGTTCTCTCGGGGATCAAGTTGAGGTCGATCTATAGGTCAAAATCTGCATGGAATGAGTGATTGAAGAAGTTAACGGATTTGACTCAGGCAATGAATGAGAACAAGTTGGTGGTTGAATTTGATTGGGAACTGATTGTCGGAACAAATCGATTTTTACCTGATCAGCTCCTGACGGCACCTGACAAACATATCAACTAGTATTAGCCAGTAATCCGGTTGTCATTTGCAGGCATATCAGTATTGTCAGGTCCTGATCAGGTTCAGTTCAGATTTACCCCCCCCTCGTGAAGACGGAAAAACACAAACATCGAGGTTCCAAATAGGTGTTGCGGTCCATCTAGGTGAACATTAGTTTGTGAAAAAAACGGAAATATCAAGGCGAACGGAAGGATTAGGGACAGGATTGGCAGGACCCGGTTGGCCCGAGCACGGAACATAACTGTGGTGAAGTCCTGTAATACCAACATGGCCTATTAGATAGTTTATTTCCACTTCAGTAACCAATTTCGTTAAAACAAGTTATTTACTTACTGTCAGACTGTTACACCGTACTGTATAATAACTTCCTACAGATAGGGGTAGGAACAGGTCGAAGGTCCCTCGGAAGGAGGGCCAGCGGTTTTGAAAAATCCCCCGAAATGTCCTGATCAGCCCTCGTCAGGCTGATTAGGTCGGTCAGGCCGCTCAGCCGTATAAGTGTTTTTTGACCCTTTTCAGCCCAAAAGAATCCTGAAGGCCTCTGACCTTGCCTGACCTACCCATGCCCGCGCTTGTCATACGTTTTGGATTTTCCGACAATGCAAAGAAAGCCAAAGTATGTACTAGATAATTCGGCAAGATGTGGGAGGGTCATTTTTGTTCTGTACAGACACTGGTCAGTCATTGCAGCCAGTGTTATCAAAGGCAGAAGGGCGGGTGGATATGTCTGACCTGTACTTCCCAATTGAGTGATATAACTTGCACGTATTTGGTCCCAGTTCAATTCAAACTCCGATCAACCCATCAAAAGCCGAGTCGGAGACTCGGAGTCCCAAATTGCATGTTTCACTCCGACTGAATTTATCCTAAGTACTATGTATAAGGACTCTCATTTAGCTCTTGGTGATGACCCAATAATATCACCTGTTATCTCCAATCATTCTGTAAAGATTTCGGTTGTATTCGCATCATATTCTCCCAAGATGAGCCGTTAGTATATTGTATGCTTTATCTACCATTATTTAGTTCTACTTTTACCCATACACTACGTGCACCGTACTTTGACGATACAGCTTGTTCGAAGTTAGCGCCTGTTCTGTGTAGTCTAAAATACAGAACCCTTACATATTCAGAGTATACACAAAATTACCAATGCCATAGAGAGGTTGGATCAACCAGGTGCATCAAGCACATGGTTTGGGCGGACTCTGAAAAAACAAAAGTCAGAGCCCAATATTAAGTATTTTGGTATTTAATTTGTGGACAGCGAGCTAAGCCAGCTAATGCCATGACTTCGTCGGGCAAATACACAGCGCCCACTCCCGCTCGTCGTTGTGCTCCCCGTTTCACACCGTGCAGTAGTCTCGTAAACGCCTTTATATGACGAGTGTGAGGACAATCGACACACAAGTATATAAACCCAGCGTGCGGGTCCAGCGCCACGCCGTTCGCCTAAAATAATAGCACATTAGTTTTCCAAGAAGTTGGCGGTGGCGTCCTCCGCAACGATCGTGTCTCAGCCATGTGCCAGGATGGCCGGGGGAGACCATTTGAAACACAACCAGATCGAAGTAGCTGTACGCCGACAAGTGCTTGCCAAGGCGTGTACTTTACATTTTGGTCGCGTTTTGGCCCGTGGTCTTCCGAGTTTGCAAGGGTTCTGCTGCCGCCGATCGTGCCTTTTGAACAAGTCGGTGGGCTCAGCACAAGTTTCAAGTGAGATTGATAGGAAAATACAAAAAAAAAAAAGAGTGTAGAATAATTCTATCAAGTCATTTAGTCCATTCAAAATGATTCGCGTTTGGCCAGAGTCCAAAACAACAGAATACAGTTATGTACTAAAATTGATGTCAGAATCGAACAAGCTTAGACTTTTAAGAGTAAGTGTCAATGGACACTTCTGTGAGAAGTCTTCACAATTTTGCCTCAAAATTTTGCGTTCGCTAAGATTTCCATTAGGATTTGTTTATCTTAAAAGACCCACATCGTTGTTCAGAAACTCAAAGGTCGATTGTTCCATGTCGCGACGCCTGGGCACCACGTGGTGCACAACGTGACCGCGAATGATTCACTTTTTGCGCTACGGCCACGGACGACCGCACGAACAGCAAGAGGGGACATTCTAAACCGGTCCACAACCGACAGCGTGAAGAACGGCCGTAGCTGTGACGGCAGGCGCTAGTCGCCATCCCGTTGATCCCACCCATCAGGCGCCGCAGCAGTGGACGATGCGGCGACGTACTACCTCCCTCTTACTCTTCCTTTTAACGTTAGTGGTCCTGTCCTTCCTTTGGCCGTCCTCAATCGAGGGAAAACCGGGGAAAGAGCGACTCAGCTATCCACCTCCTCGGCTGGTCAAAAACAACCCTGAGGGCTTCATTCGTTATGACGGCCCAAGGCTGGCCCTCAATGTCTCGCTAGCTGGGTGGCGGCCCTTTAGTCCCCCCGACAGCCACCTCCTCCCTCCCTTCGTCATGGAGCCGACTCTTGCGCAGCAACTGCCATGTGTAGACGAATGGATCTCGCAGGGTAAGATTTGTAAATCAAAAGCCCAGGGGAAAATCGATGTTGTATGGACATGGATTAATGGTTCCGAACCCGTCCTGGCTACGACACGCGATGACGCAATGACGGCGCACATGAAGAAGATGAATCGCCCAAAATGGAGCTGGGGGATTCTAAGTCCCGCCGTAAAGACGGGTGCCAGACTGTCTCACTTCAGGACGCACGGCGAGTTGCTCAATTCCATGCGATCGATTTTGAAATCCCTGCCGGCTGAGCTGGTACGCAGGGTGCGAGTCTTTCCCCTCCACGGCCCAAAATTTCTGAACCTAGTAGCCAGTACATACTGGTTACCGCAGATATTCCTGCGGACGATACTGCGGACCTTCGTCTGGGATCTGTGCCGACATGGCTGGATCTCGATCAGGCCGTGGAGATCCGCCACCACTCTGACATATTTCGCGTGCCGACATCTTTATTGAACTCAACTGTTGAACTGGAACCGCAAGCCCGCGCTTGGAGGGACCAGGTGGTGCCCTCGTTCAACAGCCTCGCCATCGAGAGTCAATTTCCCAACCTCGAAACTCTCGCACCGACGCTCTTTTGTCAGTGCCAAGTTAAATTATGTCTTCCATCGCTGACCTGCCACAGATCTTAACGACGACTGCTTCATTTTAAAACCTCTGGCGGCTGCAGATCTCGAGACGTCACTTTATGGTCCCGTTTTTCGGATCCAATTCGACTTGGCGGTGAAGAGCACGGCGCCTGGTGCTTTATTGGCCGGCCGCCTTGACAAAGAGGGAGAGTGGCCAGGTCTCCAATACAGTGAGCAGATATTAATTTATGTAAACCCCCGCTGACGATGATGTATAGCAAACTGGCTCTTGGGTAGAGACCTTACTTTTACGACCAATACCCGTCTAACTAACCCCAGATCAGCGTTTCGGAAATCGCAAGCGTCGTTACCTCGCCCACGTAGCCAAAGTCATGCCCACACCGCTCATGCGGGAAGCTGCCGCTGTCTGGGCGGACGAACTAGCCAGGGTACGCTTCCTTTGTCTTTTCCATCCATGGCTGATCTTTTCGCACAGACTGCCGAAGCTCAGTTTCGCGGTCAAGGGTCCCAGGTAAACCTGCAGTACCTAGTGACTTGGTACACCATCGAAAAGCACCGCGAGGCTTTGTGAGTCGCTTAGCCTTATATTCGGAATATTCTCATGAGATATACAGGCTGCACTCGTTTATTATGCTCCGTGTCGATGCCAACGCTGACGGTTTATTGTCGCCTGACGAACGCCGTACTTTGACAGACGGCCTGGAGTCGGGAAAGGTTACGATAGCGCCGCGAAATGACCGCACTATGGAGCACATCAACCGCAACTTGAAAAATGCTGGTCTTACACCACCGAAAGAAACAACGTATGACTGGCTTTCGTCGTACGGATACCCTATCATCACGACCGTGAAGACCGATACATTAGTGCACTGCACCATCAGCATCGAGCATTGTTTTGCGTCTAATTCCATTCTAGAGGTGTTCAAACGCGTGACGTTCGAGCACCCGGATTGCGGGGACTGTTTGATTGCGCACATCATCGCCAAAAGTGGCCCGCACGGCCTAAACGCGTTCTTGCCACCTGCTAATTCTCCCAGCGCCGTCCATCACAATATGTCGCTTGCAAAAGAATGGCAACACGCCAACTTCCCTTCGGGAATGGGCCGAGAGTTTGCCGTTGATTCCATGTGAGTGCATCCCGTTTCCTGTACGCGTCGTACTGAGTCGCGTTAGCCATCGATATAGTTATGTTGCCGGTATGTGTTCAACAACCTTTTAGACAAAGCATGCCTTATTCGATTGTGTCATCCAGGATCTTCACCCAGCAGTTTTATGTCGCTCCGGCGTGCTAGCGATACATTGAGGCTACCCAACAAGACCAGCCCGGTCGCGTTCTTGGCCGTCAACGACGACCTGGGCATAGAAAGTTCCGTGATAGCGGACAGGGTTATTCACGGCTGGTTCACAGAGCGCTGGGGGAATATACGAGGTTGGTGGGAAAAGTCCTAATTGTCTATGTTCTGTATTATTAGAGTCATGTAGCGCCTCCGAGTCTGGGCTCTTTATCTTTATTGTAACATAATTTATGTGGATCCGCCCACGCGTTTGCGCC